GAGTGAAAAATTTAAGGGGGTCTGAATACTTTCCGTACCCACTGTATATATACACACACACACACACATAGATAGATAGATAGATAGATAGACATACATTATAATATAATATAATATAATATAATAATAAAATTGCTGGTACTTCAATGGAAAAAAGTTGTATATATTTTTAAATAACTGTCAATTAAAAGCATTAAATACAAATTAATTTAAGTTTTTTTCTTTTTATTTGTAACTAGATGGATGCAAACCAAAAGATACAATTACTTTTATTCTATTACCAAAAAACAGGCAATTTACTAAGAAATATTCCAGTTGTTGTTTCAATTTCCTTACCTGAATCGAAACATTTATCAAAACATGTAGTCTAATTTTTAATCCATTTACAGGTTGTTCCTCCAGGAAATGACAACACTGATATTAGATTTGAATTTGATGAATCCTGTGATGTTTTGTGGTTTTTAGCTGGCTTGTGTCACATTAAACCATTTAATCTGGAAACTGGTAGGATGAAATAAAGTTTTTTTTGTTCTTTTTAATTGGAACTGAAATCTTTCAGCTCTTTCTTCAGTTTTCTTACTAAAATCTAAACATTTAACATAAACATCTACTCTAACTGTTAATCAATTTATAAGTTGTTCCTGCGTCCTCAATATCACTTTCCATCCTGCTAACTAACAAAAACTAGTTCCTCAATGACATCACCTTTCAGGAAGTGACATCATTTTGGTGGGAAAACAACAGCACTTACATCTGCATTTACTGGCAATGGATTTGATCTGTGATTTTGTTTTGTTTTGTGGTTTTTGACACTTTATACACCATTTCATACAGAAACTGGTATGACAATGTAAAAAACAAAGGTCAAAAGCTGGTTAAAAATGTAACCGTTATCATACCGTGAAGGGAAGTCGGTCATGAAGAGCTCGGGCACCAGCTCCTGTAGCGGGACGGGCTGTTTGGGGTGGTTGGGGCAGGTGATGTGCTCCTTGTCCACGGCTGCCAGCACGCAGTCCTCCATGTTGAAGTAGTGGACGGTGCTGTGACTGGAGCGGGACAGAGGCAGCGGGTCGGACACTCGGGGTCCGGAGCTGCAGTACGGACAGGGTGCGTACTGCTCAATGAGACGAGAGCCGTCGCTCTCACTGCCCGTCAGCGCTGGACAAGGAGAAATCATCACGTGCATGTTAATCATAAATATATGGTGTTCATGCTTATATAAAAAGACATTATTCATGGCTTAATGAAAACGGCTCAGGAGAAAAAGGCAGATTTTTATGATTATTAAAATTAACTGAATCCACTTTTATTTATTAAAATAAATAAAAGTGTCTACAGTGACTGCTTGGCTGAAATAAAACAAAATAAAAATGCTAAACAAACAATTGATAAATAAATATTACTAAATACATAAAAAATAAAATAAAAAGCCCCTCTCTGAGCAAAGATATCAAGATGTATACTGAATGTTGTCAAAAGGCTGAAAAATAAACTAATAATAATAATAATAATACATAATAAATAAATAATAAATAGCCAATTAAAATAAAAAATAACAAAATAATATTAAATAATAATAAAAACACCATTTTAAGCCATATCTGAACAAATATATAAATATCAAGATGTATATTAAATGTTGTCATAAGGCTTAAAAATAAATAAATAAAGAATAATAATAATAAAATCACCCTTTTATGTAATTTCTGAACAAAACATAAATATAAAGATGTATTTTGTTTTGTTAAAAGACTAAAAAAATAAAACAAATCAATAATAATAATAATTATAATAATAATAATAAACGATTACTATGAATAAAGTAATAAATAAACAAATCACCAGTTTAAGCCATCTATAATACTAATAATAATAATAAATTAAAAATAAATAAATAAATAATCACCAAATACAGCAAAATACATACATATTGAGCTGTATATTCAGTTTTGTCAAAAGGCTGAAAAATAAATCTATAATAATAACAATAATGGAATATAAATAATGAAAAATCAACTAAATATAAATCAATCAATCAATAAAAAATTGATTTAAGCCCTTTCTGAGAAAATACATATATCTCAAGTGTATCAGCGTTGTTAAAAGGCTGAAAAATATCTAGATTGAAACTCACACACACACACACACACACACACACACACACACAAAATCAGCATTACATGCATGTGTTAATAATCTCACACAGCAGTGAGTTTGTTTACCCACAGACAGAGTCACATGTGAAGTGCTGCTGGGTAGCAGGTGTGTGCTATAATTAACAGGCTTTATGTGAACTAATGAATCAATCACTGCTGCTGCAAAAACTACAGTCTGACTCATGATCGCTTCTATACAGTTCAGTGTGTGCTTGGTGTTTGTGCTGCACCTGTGTTGCTGACTGACAGCGTGTTAATACTGTAAAGCGGCTCTGCACTGACACACAGCAAACTCCCACAGTGCAACATTAACAACAAACAGCTGCACGCCCATATTAACAACCTACGGTTATGGGTTTAGGATGTTTGTCAAGATATCATCACGTTGACACCTTCATCATGACACTATTTATGACACGGTTTTGCTTTCTGTTGGACTTCCGTCTTATGTCCACAAGTGATGTTGGTACTTCTGTTTTGCATCAAGACTCTCATGTTTTATCATCTTAGTCTAGTACTGTTTTTCAATACTGCTTCCAACTGGAATAACTACTACAGGTCCCGTCTAGTCATTGTTAAAATAATATTACTATAAAAACAGATAATTAAGACTCTATGTTCCCCATTTGAAGCTGTTTAAATGTCCAAAAAATGCACATTCTGTATTAACGCTGCAAGTTGCAATGGAAACAGCTCATGGCGCATGGACGAGTACTCTTAACTGCACTGAAGGTAAACATTTGATCAGCTCATGCATTCACTGGGAATGTCTGTATCATATCCAGGCTACCGTATAGATCTGTGCACGAGATTTAATATATCAGAGATCTATAGCGTTTGAGAGCAACATCTAGAGGCGTCCTCACCAGGAAACCACTGCTCTATGAGGGCGTTAACGTGATCGGTGATGAAAGCCATCGCTGAGAAATCCCTCGTCTCCGACTGACAGATGATCTTGATGCCTCCGCTTTTCTTTTTCTTCCAGTTCAGGTCAGACGACTCTACGCTGTGGATGAAAAACAGAGCGAGTCTTTTCTTATCAGTGTTATTTTAGTATTATTTAGATACTATTATAGTTTTAATTAATATTTAGAATTTAGAATTTTTATTTTGTAAATATTCAGTTTTCATTTTAATTTTAGTTTGAGTTTTTTTTTTTCCATTTATTCAGTTATTTTTATTTATTTTTTAATTGGTTGTTATTATTCTGTTTATTTTTCAACCTTTTGACAACACTCACTACACATCTTGATATTTATGTATGTTCTCAGAAATGGCAAGAAATAGTCATTAATACATTGTGTTGTTGTTTACTTAGTAATATTTATTAATTGTTTATTATAAACACATGCATCCTTTGCAGAGGAGGTAATCCCATAATGCTCTGCAGCAAACAGTAAAAAAAAATATGTCTAAGATACCGGATACAGTATTATTTTAGTATCATTAAAGGGGTCATATGATGCGATTTCAATTTTTCCTTTCTCTTTGGAGTGTTGCAAGCTCTTGGTGCATAAAGAAGATCTGTAAAGTTGCAAAGACTAAAGTCTCAAATCCAAAGAGATATTCTTTATAAAAGTTAAGAGTCAACCACGCCTACCTAAAACGGCTTGTTCTAACACGCCCCCACATGTCTATGTTCACGCAAAGAAAGAAGGCATAACTTTTATTCTCGCTGTAGTATTGTTGTTGCCGCCACCATGTCGTGAAGGCGCTGTGTGTTTCGTTGTGAAAGCGAAACTACTTTGTTTGGTCTTCCAAAAGAGGGCACGATTAGAAATCAGTGGTTAAGTTGTATTTACAACACTGTTCCAAAACAGTTCAAACCAAATATTCGAGTGTGTGCAGCCATAGGCGGAGGGTGGACCAACTCCAGGGTAAGGCTAAAAGCAGCCAAATCTATTAACTACCTATTACAGTATTAATTAATATTTTGAATTAGCTTTTATTTTCATATTTTCAATTTAATTTTAGTTTAAGTTTTGTTGCGCTTTTGTAACGTTTATTACTTTTTTTGTATTTTATATTTAGCTTTAATTTATTTTCATTTCAGTTAGTCGTCAAAGCAACATTTCGATTTTTCATCATTAATATATATAGAGTGAGTTATTTTTTAAATTAATAATAATAATTATTATTTATTTATTTGTTTGTTTTTCAACCTTTTGACAACAAATATGATATTTATGTATTTTCTCAAAAATGGCTTAAAATGGTAATTCATTAGTTTTTTTTGCCTTTTTATTGTTTATTTAGTAACATTTATTTTATTAATTATTTATATATAGTATTTTAATTCAGCTTTATTTCAATGAACAAAAACATGTTTTTAGTTAAAACTAACAACACTGGGTGAATGAAGAAAGAGAAATGTTGATAACAAATATATTTGTATTTATTAAATATAAAAAATATAAAAATAAATAAAAACTAAAAACAAACCTCAGATATCCGCCGTCAAAGGTGACTAGCAGCCCTTCTTTCCAGTAGATGGTCTGACTGCGCCGGACGCGGAAAGTGCTGCAGCGATTGCGCTGCTGGTTCCCCGCAAAGCTGTAGATCACCGTACTGTGGTTCCTCTGGTTCTTCGTGGGCCTTTTGGTCTCGAATGCCTATTACGAAAAATCACAAAGACAGTCATCAAAATCTGTCGACTGAAACCAGGCAGACATGTGAACACAGCCTAAACATCACTTTCACCTGAGAACTCATGTAAGGAATCATTAAAACTACAGCTGCAAGTAGCAACTACATGGCCAAACCTCCAATGGGATACTGAATGACTGAGCAGATTTTGTTGGTTTATAACTTTTGACCAGTAGGTGGCGCTACAAATGTGCATGATATTCTCAGGTCAATGTGGCGTTGATAGAAAGAAAAACTGTGTGTCAATAAGCAAAAGCTTTGCCAAGATAATGACTCACTTCCTGTTTGGTGTCTTCGCCAGCAAAATTGTTAAGGCTTTTCTGGAGAATAAAATCCAGTAACTGAATTTGTGTGGTTTTGTCTTTGTCTGTGTATGACCTGAACCAATTTTGGCGAAGATTCAACAAACACTGTAAGAGGAAAAGCGAAACAAACAAAACAATATGCAAAACTGGTCCAAAATAGTACAAAGTGGGACCTCAGAAATACATTAAGTTTTTGCGACAGATACTTTTGCACTTTGGCCAGTAGGTGGCGCTGTCACCAAACTGTTCTTGTACAATGATTCATAGCAAGTTTCATATCAAACAGCCAAAGCATTGCAAAGATACCATCTCACTTCCTGTATGGCATCCTGTCATTGAATTCATTGATGCATTATAATAATGTAATATAATATAATATAATATAATATAATAATTACAGTCATACTATACATAAAATACATAAAAAAATGGTATAAATAAAATTTATTTTTTCTCAAACGCTCTCTAGAAGCCGAAGCCCTACACTATAAATAGAAGCTGAAGTTGCGGCTGAGATCGGTCGCTTGTTCACAGTGTAGTATTTCCTGTACAGTTCCCTATCGCCTACACACAATGTAGGCGATAGGGAACGATTCAGACAGTTTAAATATGCTTTCGATTGGGGCAAATGAGGTCTGGTTTCACGTTGTGTCACGCGAAACGCGGCAGCGTGCACAGTCTGATCCGGACTTTGGCTCCGGGCACAGAGCGGATCATATGCGCGAGTCGGCATATATTAAACACTAATATAATTCAATTTCAATTTCTAAGAGTTTCATATTGAATCTAGGGGCTAATCTATTAGACTGTGGCTGTCAAATGCGGCTTTACCGAGCTCAACGGCTCTGAGTGACCCGTGCAGATATAAACAAAATGCTATTGGCTAATTTAAAAAGGGGGCGGGGCTGGTCGATATGTCCCGCCCTGTCTTCCTGTTTCAGATGAAATTACGTCACCACATAGAATAACGCTGCGTGTTTCAAGGCACTAGTCATATTGTCAATTCTAGTCACAACATTTTGCTTAATATTTTTAACAACAATAATAATGATAATTTAATAATATAACAGAATTTTTATATAGTTATACTATAAATAAAACTGTTGTTATTATTATTATTATTTAATATTTTTCTTAAATATATGATCTTTTTATTTTTATAGAAAATGATTAAAAAAAGATATATTTATTTTGTTAAAAATAAATAAACAAACAAAAAATAAATATCAGAAAAATGGCAATAAGATTTTCCCCCCAAACAGCCCTATGCATTACCAAATTTTGCCAAAGTTTTTGTATAGGGTTATTTGGGGAAAATTAGACTGCGAAAGCGTGCAAAGCATCTTAACATGCGGTTTCATGGGCTGCTGTGGACTCCCAGCCATAAGCATTGTCAGCGTGTGGTCTCTAATTCTCCGTTTGCAATGACTGCAATTCTGACTTTTATTGGTCGGTTAGATTGTCATCTCAGGGTGTGTGTTTACCTGCACGTCCATCTGGTTTAAACTAATTAGCATCCTGGCTATAAAGCGCTCCCAGAATCCCGCAGGAACAAAGCTCATCTTAAAATGCCGCTGAATGGAGTTGTTGCTCTGGTGCCGAAAGCCGTGGATGTCCAGGGCAGGTTTGGGGGGCAAAAGGTGGGGCAACAGATAACTATGAAGAGAAGAAAGAATTTCTGAAACTCAATACTTCATACATATTAAGAACATTTTATACATACAATGTATGTTATTAAAAACATTATTATTACATATTAAAACATTATTTTTGGACATTTTCACAATAAAAATATGCATTATTCATTTGCAGAAAAATAAATAAATATACATTTCATGTGGGTTAAAATATATATTAAAGTTAAGAAGAATAGAAATCTAAATACAAAACAAAAATGTTTAATTTAAATATTATTATTATATATTATAACATTAATAAATAAATTTAATTAAAACTCAATACTTAAAGTCCGTAAGCTTTGCCTCTTTGTCGCCATCTCTGTTTGAAAACCTGGAATTGCAGCTGAGTGCGGAATTATCTAGCTTACATGGGTTGTGAGTGGGCGCGGCTCCAGCGGGATGAATCTAATGTTTTGAGGAGTATGTGTGTGTGGCAGTCAGTCACGCACCGGTGTGGATATTTACTGTACTTCGCAATCACAGATTCTAGCCTACATCTTGGAATATATGACTCAAATAAGCATATTCACCGTATATTGCCATCTGAACAAGTAAGTAACAAGTCTACAACGTTTGTTCTGACCAGCTGAGGAAAAAAGCATTACTATAAATCTCGCTACCAATGGTGATTAAATCTAAAGATCGGTTAGCTCATATCACATCAAACCGTTCAAATTATTATTATTGTTATACTTTATTCTCAAATGATTCATGTTAACAACATCAGCATTGCTGACTATGAGTATAGTGTGTATTAGCGCGTAGATTTCAATTTCTGCACAGTCTAATCTAACTGTCATACTCTTCGAATTTCATATTAAGAAATTATTTTAACCCAAAAAGAAAATTATGCTCCCTTCAAACTGGTTTTCTTTAAAATACAAATCTTTGTAATCCCAGGCTATCTGTAATCAGAAGCACATTTATAACGAATATAATTTAATTTCATTCACATGTGTTTCATAAACACATAATCCTTTATGGATTACAATCTGCCATCAAAATGATACATTTAATTATTCTGGCCGCTGTGAGAAAAGGCTATAAACGATCGTCCACCTGCAGGATCCTCACATGTGATAGCCTAGTAGCTGGGACAACTTCTTTATGTTTACAGACATGACGTAATGACGCAGTGCCATGCTCGAATTTCCCGTGAAAACCTACCCGTACAACTCAAATTAGAAAACATTACTATAAGCTAACCGTTGTGAATCAGGCTAAAATAAGGCGATAGTTTTGAACACTGGCTGGTTATGTACTTGCTCAAATATTGATTTCGGATCATTTTTAACCAAAAAAAGTTACGGACTGCAGCTTTATTTTAGTTTACAATATGCATTAACGTTGAGAAGAAAATGTTATATATATATATATATATATATATATATGTTATTAAAAATATTATAGCAATATTTTAACAATTAGTCATGCATTCAATCAATCACTCAATCAATAAATAACATTTAAAACCCAATACTTCAGATAGATTAAAATATATATTCAAGTTTAGAAGAAAAGAAATATAAATGTTGCAACAACTGTCGACCAAGCAACTGACCAACCGAATGTCCGACAGACAGACAGACAGAGAACAGACCAACAGACAGACAGACAGAGAACAGACCAACAGACAAA